AGCTGCAGCGCGGTTCTCGCGGCAGCGTTCCCAATTCGTGACTTCCCTGCGAGTTCACGTAATCCGCGCTAAGGACAAGCTTTGGGATTAGCACTGTGCAATTCTTCGATTGGCGCTAGAGCGCGTTTACTTGTCACTCAGCTTAGCTTGATTTCAAAATCGGTTTCACTGGTAGCCACAAGTGTCACCGACTATGCACACATCGATTATTGATTAGTCGGACGAAATCGCGGATTGCGGGAAATGCAGAATGGATCCGGCAGTGCTTATACTTCGCGATACGCGCTAGTGTTGCGACCGCACTCCAGTGCTATAGACGGGAATGCCGTCTTAGACCCGTATCGATCGGCGCTGGCTGTTAGCGTTTCGTGAGAGTTTACAAGAATGGGAGATCACCAGACTGCGTGATTACGCAATGGGTACTCTCCTTCCTACAATACTCTCTCAGAGCAATAGCAATCGGCGCCGATCGATACCCGTCTGCGGTTCCCGCCCACAGCATTGCAGCGCGGATGTAGTGATAGGAGAGGCGAGCAAGAGAATCTTAAATTGCGCTTTGTCGCGAGCGGTAATGAACGCGACGTTTGCTTGCAGTGCTGTGCTACCTCTTCGACTGAAGCATCGGATTTCATGTAGACAAGGGAATCGCAGGCACTTGCATCTATTTTTTTGGTCACAAATTGTCCATTCTCGACAAAGAGCACCTAAAATCGTCGTAATTAGCGGGCATGACGTCGCACGCGACGATTTACATTTCTCTTGCCGCATACCCCAATGATCGCTCATCGACGACGTGAGAGGCTGTCATCGCGAAGTCTGAACGTTGCCACAGATAGGTTTTAAAGTCGTTTTCATGCGCGCGCGCCGCCGGTATCCGCTGAATCACAAGTACTAGTGACTTCAAACGCAGCAGTTATTGAGCGATTTCCGATCATTCGAGTGACCTGCGGAATGGCTCAGACAAAAGAAAAGCAGACGCTCACAGTGGCTAAATCGCGTCGCGACCGCAGGCATTGAAGAGAGACTGGCCCCGTCGCGTGCACGATCGGCTTTTCGTCTCCAAAAGCGTTTCTCTGACGTACCAAATCCACACCAGAACCTTCTTTGTTTCCGCACTTGTTTTCGCATTTCCAGGACTTTATTCTACAGTTCTAGTGTTTTGTTTTACCACTCTTACTCACGGATCAAACAGTAAGTAGTGTAGCTCAGAGAGATACATGACACTCTAGTTCGCTGCGGACGGTGGGGCGTGTCAGGCAGTATGAGTGTGCCACGGTGAAAAACCCGTTCTCTGCCAGTTGTTGAAGCAGTTACGCGACAACAGTTGTTGGGAAACGAGTGATACGAACGACATGATACAGTCTTGTCACTTGCTCGCTTTAACAGCTGGTGGAGAACGGGTTTGGCACCGCGCCAAACTCATCCCGCCTGACACGCCCCACCGTCCGCAGCGAATTACACTGTACCTAATGGCGATTCACTTTATCACCGACCCAGTTTGAAGTCTTGTAAACAGTTCCCCAAGGGGACAGATCAAATAAACTCACTGCAAACAGTCAGTTTTGTCTTGAATGTTTGGAAGACGAAACTGTGAGGAAATTTCGATGTAACTTCATCGAATATATAGTAATAGTACAGTCCAACACATCACACTACAATACCGTATTGGGGCTTTAAGTAGGAGCTTCATGCAAGAAGTCAGGGCCAGTTGGGGTGTCTGTGCGTACCAGGACAACGATGTAGAAGGCAGCAAGAAATACAAATGGGATGGCGACCAACGGTGTCGCGATCACGATGACGACTAATGTGGCGATCACGTTGAACACCGTCATCAGCATCGATCGTATCGATCCGGGTAATGTTGTATCGATCGCATCCATATCCTGTGGACGTGAAATCAGAAGTGATAACACACTAACAGGCTTACTGACTATTCCTAAAACATAAAACCAAACAATAAGCTTGGCGATGGCGTGCTTCAAGAATGTGAAAAGTGTTACGGCAAACATAAAGTGAGAAAGAAATAGGGATCGATTGGTATTGATTAGAAGAAAATGGTAGCAAACATTTGACTGACGACTTCATTGACGGCCATTCAAATGCTTGTTGATGGCGACAAGATTGGAATCACCGTTATAGCGATGTTGACGCAGATAACAACGATGACTGGACCAGAAGCCCAAGGTGTGACGTATATGAGAAGGAAAATGGTCATAGAAATATGAGAGCCAGTCAGCAGCAGGTCACCAACAGTTTCGGGCAGTCGAGCGTCCACATTTTCCACATCCTGTTCTCTCCTTTCAACTTGTTTTCAAAGTCAACTACGTATCAAACAATAGACCTAATCGAAAGATATTTCTCGTTGATGGACCTTCCAATTTTTTCGAACTCTCATATGGTTACCAGTCTCATAAGTCGCGTATTTCACAGTTTCACTAGCGTAGGAATGTCACCAATCAATAAAGTACGTGACCAATCACTGGTAAGCTGACCAGACTGGCCATTCACAAGTGATGGGCGTGAACGTACCTTCACTGGCTGGGTAAAAACTAGTGAAATTGTGGAATAATATACCTACGTGTGGAACAGAATACAGTAGTTTCGTATAACGCAAGTAGGCTTCAAAAATTCTCGCGAGCGGTTCAAAAGTACTGAAAACATCAAAAGTCCCTATTTGAAGACACATTCGCCAGTTTTCATTGAAATGGAACCACTGCATGCGGGAATGTAGTACGGGCCACTAGGAACAATCTTGTACTAGTATCGCGCAAGAAAGTTGCAAGGTAGTATAGGTGCTCAGGTGACCCCACCAGAGCGACTCCCGCACCCTTCCACTTCCTCCTCTGATACCACCTCCCCCTTCTACCTGCCTTTTTCCTAGTTTTCCCAACTTCCTACAACCAGATCTTCCGGAATTTTCCGGAAACTTCGTAGCTTCTCCCCAATACCTTACCTTGCCCTTGCTGTCAAGCGAGAGGGAAGGGGGGGGGAGGAAGTTGGCAGCAAACAACTATTAGTAAAACCGCGAGACGTCAACAACCGGGAAAGATCTTCTCCAACGTCGCAAGTTTCTCTCAAAGGGAAAGAGGACTCCCTCTCCAAACAACGAGCAAATAAAAACTCCCCCAAACAAGAAAAATCAAAAAAACCTTTTGAAAAAATTTCTTCGACCAAGTGGACTCCCTCTCCAGCGAGGAAATACGACCCTCCCCGCCGCCCCCCCCTGAGGGATTTCCCAACGTACTACCTGGTCTGATCATAGCAACGCTTCGGCGCTCGCTTAGAACCGAGCACGTTTCACTCACCAGGGAAGGTCTTCAACTTACCATGGAACTTTGAAAGGAGACCTAGGTGGATCGATAGAGTCTGTGAGGCTATTAACAAATATAGATAGCAAAACTGCAACGTGCATTCCACAAGCAAGTTATGAGCAGGTAAAGTTTGTAATGGTGCACG